ATAAAAATTAAATCCAGATGAATCATAAAATAATGATATTTTATTGATAAGTCAATTAAAACCAATTCTAAAATATCGATATTTCTAGTTTTAAAAGTTACATCCCTAGTTCTATCCGCCATGACAGGTGACCAAGTGAAGTTTATGTAGGCACGATTTTTTCCTAGTTGTTTCTTATCCATACTCTTATCATATCAGTGGTAGACTATCACGAGCCGTTGTTGTTACTGAACATCTTCTAAAATACTAATAACCTTCTACCCAACAAATAAGATCTAAAATCCCTTGCTTGGCAATAGCTCTTGTGGCCACTGAACCAAAGAGTTCCTAGTCTCATCATCACAAAATGCAATTCTGACAGTTAATTAAAATACTTTGTTTTGTCAACAACAACTAGTTCATTGTTCTGTTATAGTTCGCGTGAAACAACATCTGACGTCAAAGTTACACCAGTTTTGTGATAAACATTTAGCATCACATCGCGCTTTTATTCCCAACGGACATAGACAGAGGTTTTAGTTAACCATTTTGTTAGATTTAAGTTTGGTGGCTAGGGTAGGTGCACTATTTAGTAGAGGTGCCTTTTTAAGAGGGGAAAATCATCCAATGTCTTCTCACGCCTGTGTGAGGCGGAAGGGAGTGTCAGACTTTTACTGACTAAAAACCACCCCGTTCCTACTCCTGCACTTCCAGCCGGAGCCCCAACAACCCGTAAAGTCCCCCGCGGCTCCGTATCGGCATCAGCCTTATTGGGCTCCGTTTGTGGTGGTCTGATGGCTCGTTAGAAAAATATGAGTAATGTGATTAAAAATCCTAGAAAAAAATACTTTTAAATGACATATGATGCCAGACAAGGGATCTCGGGTTCGATACCGGGCAAAGTATTACTAGGTTTTTAAAACAAAATCTCAGTAATAGCACGGAGTTCAGAAATGTGCCCAGAATATGGCAATAGGTTCACCCCCTATTACATGGGGCTTCATAACATAAATAGTGAAAAGTGGGTGTCACATTGTAGACTGGCATTAAGCGCCGTAATGTGCATTTTTGCCTACCCCTTAGAGTATAAAGAGCGTGATGTAATTTTTATTAAGAAGCTCTTTATTCACAGAATGGCTCGACCAACCCATTTGGTGCTGCTCCTCGTCACGCTGGGCGTAGTACATACTTCCCAGGGTCACGCCCGCTCCTTCACTAGATGTCAACTGTCCAGAGAACTGCTGCGGTATAATTTCCCAAGGAGTATGATACCTAACTGTGAGTATAAATTTTCTATCCAATTTTTATTAGAGCTATAAGAACTGTACGGTAGTGCATGTGAGAATAGTACATAGTGCCCAAGTGTGTGGCAAAATATAAGAGGTTAATATACATACATAGAAAGAACTATCTTAATATCAGTAAGAATACATGATATATGGATATGAAACTACTGCCAACGGCTTTGACTGTGTCATCAGAAGAAAAAGTCTGTTTGGCACAGATATAGAAGCTTGATAGAAGATGTTGAGCCTTCGCGCATAAACAATTCGTTCGATAGTTTTTGCATTATAGAGTAACAAATAGGTAGACAGACATACTTCCATATCTTCTAAAAATATATTCTACGTGAATTATGTATAAGGGTTTAGACCTTAGGGCCGATTTTTTAATCATCAGTTAATTTTTAACTGAGGAATTACTTTCAACATTTGACAATTCTTCCACTGTCAAATGCCAATTTTACTTGAATAAAATTTTAATTGTAATTGAAATTTGTCAGCTGTTTTAGTGCGGAAGAATTGTCAAATATTGAAAGTTATTCCTCAGTAAAATTTTATCTGGCGTTGGAAAAACATCACACCTTTTATCCCCGAATGGGTAGGCAGAGGTGCACACAGAAGTAACACCCCCTTTCACTATTTATGTTATTAGTCCCATGTAATAGGAGGTGAGCTTATTGCCATCTACCGGGTACAATTCCAGACTGAGTTTTTATTTGAAAACCCCGTAATACTTTGCCCGACCCGGGAATCGAACCTTCGAATCGAAAAATTTTATTCTACAGTTATTTATTATTATATATTAACTATTAACTATAACTCTAGAAGGTCCTTTATTGAATAGGATAGATCCTAGAAGGTTTATTACCAGAAATCCTCGTAAGAGATTTACATCTCTGCTTTACAGAAAGACGATCTACTTTACTAGGCATCCTATATACAGTTGAACCTATGAACGAACATACAGGATGTTCTCCATAACACAGGCCGTGATTAACTCACTCGAACGCATCCAATACATTTACACGCTATTGCACATCAAAGCCCCTGCTAAGGCTGGAAACCTGATGCACTATCACTGTATGACAAGAGTTTTTGTACCTTGTGACTCTAGAAAGAGAGGTGGTTTTAATATTTCTTCTGAAGCTAATTTTCTTAATGTGTTTGACATGAAGTCTTTTTAATTCCAAACAGATGTCGTGTGGACTAAAACCATGAAAATGCGGAAAACTAGAATAAATACCTTTGATGTTTTTTTATTTATAAGTGATCGTATTTATAACAATTTGTATGTCGTTTGACGTACAAATTCATATTTTCGGTTTCTCAACAAATATTCTGATTTGGGTGTAGTAGACCCTGGGTGTAGTAGACCCAATTACCTACACCCATATTCGGATAACAATATATTAAACAACCCTATACTGACTTTCTACAACAGATAATCAACTTTATTCTTTTGTATTAAAGATGTTAACCTGTTTTTTTTTTTTTTTTTTTTTTTTTTTTTTTTTTTTTTTTTTTTTAACCTTGACACACCCAGAGCACGAATGTCTCCTCCCTAGAGCTACCTTCAGCACGGTGCCACATTGCCGTTGCATTAGCTGCAGCTAATAACTCCGTTCTCTAGAGAATAGGATGTACTGTGTCAAGCACGTGTAAGGTTCTAAGTTTCTAGAGCTATATTAAGCTTATTTTTTAGTTTTCCTGCCTTTTTAGGCTGCCTCGGCGGCCGAATGGTTGCAAGTGTGGCAAGGGGTTTCTGGTTTGATTCCCGATAGGGCAAAGTAATACAGCGTTTTTTAAAAAAGTTCAGTTCAGTTCGTCACTCCGTTTTAAGTCGCGTTTAAGTATAGTTCTGTCACTACGTGTTCTTTGTAAAATGACAGAGATAGCAGTTAGCACTATATATAAGTAAGACTTAAAATTCAGTATTCGGGAATATTGAAAAGATACTGAATTTTAAGTCTTCGTTGGTGATCTTGGTGAAGGAAGAAGAAAAGTAGATATATTTATAATATTGAGCTAACGCATTTTACACACATACAAACAAATGGTTACGAACATAACACAAGTAAACACAATAATATTAAGAGGACAAAGAAAGATCTTCAATGAGGACATACACATTCATAGTTAGGTAATAAAAATACTATTAAAACTCTACACGCAAATAAAGATCCTACACAAAAGGCAATAAAGCTCAATTTTGGCACTACCATTGGGTATAAAGATAAAATTTTACGGCTTGCATTCACGTAAGACAGGTATCGTAGCCAGGTACACATAGAGGTATGAAAACCAGTTTATTGTGGACTCGCTTTGTATGATCTTTGCGCACATTCGACATTCAGTTTATATTGGTTATGTATAGCTTGATGAGCAGCAGTACCATCATACCTGAATGCGCTCTCGTGTTCTTCATTCCATATCTATATGAGAGCATAAATCTAATAAAATGTTATAGTAATCCTTAAACGTTGATTACGTCACAAACGGGAGCTAAAACTGAAATATTTTCATTTTTATTACACAACCATAAAGTCCTTTTTACGTTGCGTTTGTTACGTGAACTCGTGGCATCGTGAGGATCTAAGTTTACAGCAGTTGTTGTGTATGAGTGCACCGTTATAAATTATTATCAAGAAATGTCGGTTCAAGAGACGTAATTCAGGTCTCAAATATCTATGACATACCCAAAACTAGGAAAGTATCACGATAAATTATTAAAATTAATTTAGCAATCATGACTGCCTCGTTGGCCGAGTGGTCGCAAGTGCGACTGTCGGGCAAAGGGTCTCGGGTTCGATTCCCGGGTCGGGCAAAGATTTACTGGGTTTTTAAAAAAATCTCAGTAGTAACACGGAGTCTGAAAATGTGCCCGATATATGGCAATAGGCTCACCCCCTATTACATGGGACTCATAACATAAATAGTGAAAAGTGGGTGTTACCAGTTACTTCTGTGAGCACCTCTGCCTACCCCTTCGGGGATAAAAGGCGTGATGTTATTTTTAATTCAGCAATCCAAGAGGTAATGCATATCAAACAGACAAACAGAATAAAAAATGAAGCAGATTGCATATTAGCTTCCAAAACAGAGTTTTTTCGAAACCCAATCAAACGCTTGATAAAAGTCCAAGAAATCTTCTACAGAAAAAGCCAAACCATAACAAAGAAAGTACACCAATATTATAAAAACATTCCCATACCAAACATTAATTCAATAAAAACGAGAATCGAATAAAACAGGATAACCGAAACATTCGACGAAGCCATATATTACGTCAATCTACGGTTAAGCAAAATGTAATACTATCGACTCAAAGATTGGATTTCTACGAACGAGGTTATAAGTTTGACTTATTTCCGATGGCCACAGACGAAAATAATGAAGTAGAGTAGATACCAATCCCTTGCTATGTCGTCCAAAGGATTTTGTATTTATGACAATTTACTAAAGACTAGTTTCGGCCCGCAACTTCGTCCGCGTAAAATAATAACTTTAGGCTGATTTTTTTAATTGGGACCTGAAACCGGCCAATAAGTGGACGGATCACCTACCGGTTATATATCTTAGGTGTCAACAAATTATACCCTATAACAAGAGAAGTATTATTTATTATTTTATTTTTTTAAGTATCATTAAAATCCGTCCATCAGCTTCCAAGGCTAGTAAACAGACCAACATATAAATAAGTTTTTTTAATTATCTCTCTGTTGCTGTTTTCTTGTCGCCCTATTTTTATTTTATTGAACAATATTAATGAACAGACACATGTTTTTACTATTTTATTATATGTATAGATGTAAGGAATGCAATAACTGCTTTATTCTACTAGAAGATAATAAGATGAATAAGGGAAAAGGATTAAGATCCAATGAATGGGATGTTCAACTTCTAGATATTGGTTGATTAGGAATTTATTCGTGTACTTCTGTGTTATTCTGGTTTTGCCAAATATTTCGTGTATGTAATATGTTTGATATCAATAACAAGAGTAATAATGTTGTATTGATAGCAAAATTATACGAAAGTCATTTGGTAAATTGTAACTACAACTTAAGTAAAAACAGTTCAATATAATATTGTTTCAATTGAAAATTGATTCTAAAATAATCAAAGAAAAATATATTTGACTTGTATTTCTAATATCGTTAAATCCATTTCATCTTATAATAGTCCTATTTGGCAAACGAAAGGCTCTACTTCTCAGACTTTATTTTACTTAATCGACACTTCAAACAACTGCCAATCGGCAATCACTCGTGCCACCACAAAATCAACAACAGAATGAATTTCATTCCAGTTCAATATTTTTATTCGACATTTATCCATCAGTGCTTATACAAAGTTTCATCAAATAAACATGCATCACAATTAAAATCAGAACCAGTCGAACCTATGAGTCAAACTTTTATGTTCAAATGCCCAATATAAATACACAGTCCATTGAAACAAAACTAATCGACAACTTAAAATGAATATAACCTCAAAATATTAACCTTGAATACAAATTCTCACTTTCAATACAAAATAGGTTACAATACAATACATGTACAAATTAAATCAGAGTTAAAGCCTGTGCAGACGGAAGACTTTTGTCTGTTGCGGATAAAAATTTGGTCAGGATGGTGAAAAAGACCGAAGGCGATCTGCACAGGGTATTTTGGTCCTCTCTGCAAGGTATTCATGATTAAAATTTTGATTATATTGATATCCTACTAATTCATGAATGTGAAACTTTGTGAGATTGTAATAACAAATGGCTGAAAAAGCCACTTTTGTTTATAAATAATCGTCCACAGAGTTGACATGTGGGAACACCATAAAAATGGTTATAGTTAATTGCCGCACGTGGCCGTGATGGCTAACTTTTTTTAATATATGACGACAGTGGCAAAAAAGCACACAGCCCACCTGATAGTAAGCGGTTACCGTGGCCTATGTTGCAAGCGTAACACTTAACTATGAGGATGTCTGTACTAAATTTACCTGTATGTACTATATTTTGTTATTATTTCGCACAAAAGTTTTACCCGATAATGTGGCTGTAACACTGACAGAAGTTTCTGTTACTAGTTAGTAGCTTATAGAGAATACGTTTAGTACCAAAAAATATTCCTGCAGACAGTCTCTCGTCTGCACAGGCCTTAAACGATTCTCATTCCCAACGGCATCAATTAAAATGTCTCGAACAATTTTAAACTTTAATGAAAAGGGGAGATTCGTAATGTTTTGTCATCTGAATGGTTCCTTTTTATGCAAATAAGGAGATCTCTCTCGCGAAAGTTCTGCGTAAACGCGTAATAAGGCCGATGTCGATTCATTTAGTGTGGCCCGCCTTTAGTGTTAATATTTAAATTAAGAATTTCGAAGTCAACGAATTTAATTTGAGTAAACGACATTATTTTATACTTTTTTTTAAATAGAATACGTTTAAGTTTGGGTTTTGCTGTAAATCTAGATAAATGACTAGAGTTTGTTGGATT